CCCACACTGCATTTAGGAGGAGGCTTTTTTGCTTTCTGAACAAAGGGCAGCCACTGCTCCACTGCCCTCCAGGGTGGTGGAGACTGCAGCCCGACTGCATGAGGTCAAAGTCAGTTTTTGATGTCTAATGAATCCAATGAAACCTGCTCGTTGAAAACAAGTAAGATATTTGGTAGACATCTTAACAAAGTAATTATGTGAAATTTTAATTTTCTACCCTACAGGGTTTAATTACCGTATTGGAAAACCTAAAGGACCTCGAGACCCACCTCCTGAATGGATCCGATAGAAGACTTTTTTTTTTTTTATACAGTGCGTCTGAAAAAAACACTTTTTAACGATGCTGGCCTTCATATTCATCTCATCCTCTGATTTTACAGACTAACATCTTCAAAATACAGAACACTTTCTTTACAATTAATGCTAAAATGTATCACTGTATACATAAATGGCTATTCAACTGTTGGCTTCACAACAAAGTGAACCTCACCAAGATATCCTTGTGAATATTGCTCAAGCCAGCAAAAGCGGCTCCACAATGTAGACTCCACAGGTACCCTAAAAATACAACATTGATGGAACTTCGGGAGCGTATATATAATCTTCCCAGCATATCCTCATCTTGGTTTCACAACAAACTAATAACCAATGGAAATCACCAAAATAGCCTTCTGAATATAGTGCAAGCCAGCAACATAGCTTTATTGTGATAAGTCAACAGTAGTCTTTAAAATATACACCGTCCTGAACCACGGGAGTTAACATGTTATCTTCCCAGAATATCTCATCTTGAACTGACATTGAAGAACTGAAACTAACATGAACTTTAAGGAATGGTAACAAGCACCAGTTCTACCTAAAATGTCCATTTACAATGTAAATGTTAGAGATGGCACATGGCTTTTACATGGCATGTCCCTGTAAACACCTGCACAAATCTTTACTTTTTTTTGGAGTAAAAATTCCTCCTCTTTAACATTAAGCTGTGCTGGTCTGTACCAAGAAAAATGTTTATAATGGAGGATATTGGTGATAATACATTTTATGAGGGTGTTGGGTAGCATATTAGCTGCTATAGCAGCACAGGGATATAGATATGCATTTAACTGGGTTTATTAGTTAAAACCACATCTTGCTTTAAAATGAACCTTTTTTTTTTTAAGGAAAACCTCAATTTTCATAAAAACACGATATCCTGTTATATATTTTCCATCAAAAAAAAATAAAGCCCAACTTCAGTCAAGTCTTTTCTTTTATAGAATGGGGAATGGGGTTTTATATATCTGTCTTCGTCCCTCTTGGACACAGCTGAGAGGTGAAGTGAGGAGCAATTTCTACAACATAGACACAGTGATCAAATAGGATTGTAACATATTTTCATACATTTAAAGAGCTCCAGTTTTGTTTAGAAGAAATAAATTCTCCATTTTAGTCATATACATTGCAAAGAGTTTTATCAATTGACCTTACTAACTTTTGATCAGTAGATATTGAGACACTAATTCCAGTGCCCTTGCTGCCTAATTTTGGAGAAAATCAGAGAATCTGTTGGGTTGTTATAGCTCTGTGTTTGTGCCCATTTAGAAGATCTCTCCCTTTGACACCCTGATACATAGTGGCATATTTATAAAGCTGTACATGTGACTTTAACCAGACATTTACTGGTGGTGAATCAATTACTGTCCTACCATGCACCAGAAATGCTCACCTCCAGTGAATGTTTATTGTTTACTCTTTTGACAGCTGTGATTTGTCACAGCACGATTTCAAGGTATAGAGCCGATTTTACTGGCTCTATACCTGTTATGGATACAGCACTGTCCTATGGACAGTGCGGGCACAGTTACCGCGCTCGTGAGCGAGCGCGATACGCTCACGAGCCAGGGGAGGGGCAGGACGTCTCCAGACGCCCTCCCGCTCCTACAAGACTCCCGTCCGGCCGTCTACCAACGGCTGCGGACGGGAGGTGGTTAATGTCAGATTCACTGCTTTATAAATATGCTACATAGTGTTACAGGGACAGGAAGTGAGTCGTAATCTCTCCAAGCAGCAGTAAAAGCTCTAAACCTTCTCTTAGTAAAAATGTCCACTGTGAGAAGACTGGGGAGGAGAAGAGAAATAAGGTATACAAAGAATACAAAGCCGGCAATTATCTAGAAGTATGTGTCTGTAGATTGTCATTACTAAACATTTCTAAAGGTGCGTTTGTTGGCAGAGCCAGCTGTCACTCACGCAGCTGGGCGGATCCCGTCATCTAAGTCGGGATCCGCTCCAGGTGCGGCGTCTCAGTATACCGCGAGCTGTAGCTCGCGGTATACTGAGCTTAGGGTAACGGGAGGACGCTAGTTTGTGTCCTCCCGTTACCCTAAGGAGAACTATGGCGAAAAACACTGACCCCATAGTTCTCCTTTTAAGTAGCAGTTTGCATAGGTACGATTGTCTGTACCTAGAGATTTCTACAACCTAGAACAGGTTGACAGAAGTGACATGCCCATATATACAGGTATTATAGTAAAATATTGGTCACCTTCAGACTTTTTCAGCAGTCATATGAGGAGGCAGGCAACCAGAGCAAAGTTTTGTGACAATGGAATTATAGTCAGAAGTGAGATTCACATATAGAATCAGACTGTCATTCGTCAAGTCTGTAGATTTATATCTAATTTCTAAACATACACGCATATATTTTTCAACATGATTCTTCTGTGGAAAAATGCTACAGCTCAGTTAGATTGTATACACTTTATAGGGACACTAAACTCAGGAGTTAAACCCTAAAATGCATTCAAGTACCTTAATTATTAACAAAAGAAGTATTTTATTTGTGTATCACGAGTTAATCCTCAAATCATCTCTGAGTTGGTGCTGACAATGTCCTTCCTTCTGGAGGGTGGCTACTTTTGTTCCCCATAGTCCCTGGGTGTGTTGTTGTCACCGCTCCAAGCTCGCTCCTGTGATAGACTACAATCTCAGTACACATTAGTAAACTAAACATGAGATTGTAGTCCATCATGGGAGCGAGCTTGGAGCGATGGGTACTTTACAACACACACAGGGACCATGGGGAATAAAAGTAGCCCACCTCCAGAAGGAAGGACAGTGTCAGCACCAATCTACAGCCGAGTGATACAAAAATACGCCACATTTTTTATAATAGGATACTTGAATGTATTTTTAAAGATTTAACGCCTGAGTTTGGTGTCACTTTAACTGCATATGTACAGTACTGTATATTTCTTATTGTACCACGACCTTTTTTTTATAAACACACATTACATTTTGCAGTTGTACATGGAGTCAGCAAGGTAAATAAAGGCCAAATGGTTGATTTAATAAAGCAGTAGAACATGTTCGCTTTGCAAAGTGAATGTTCACCTAGCTTAGTGAATAAGGTAGAGCTAAATGAAAATTCACTTTGCAAAAAATAACCAATCAGGTGCAAGGAGAATTTAAAAAAACAAAACAGAACTTTTGCTTGCACGCGATTAGAATGAGCCCGCATTCACACAACTAACAGCAGGCCCGTACAGTTCCGTGCTGCATGCACGCACTGTGCGGGTGTCCATCCTGTCAGCGGACACTCGCGCCCGCACGGACGTGCAATTCGGGTGAGCGTACGGCTGCGTACTCTCACAGAGAAGAACAGGCTGCTGAGTACAAATCACATGCAGCACCTGCCCTTCCCGGATCTGTACGGGCCGGCTGTTAGTCGTGTGAATGAGGGCTAATAACCGCAGCACAACTTTGCCTCATTCACTAAGCTAAGAGAACATTCACTTTGTGACCAAGTTAATTTTTACTTAGCTTAATGAATGAGGTGAAGCTGTGCGGACTTCCATCATCCAATCATGATTACTGTTTTACAACAGGTACTGTTGTATCATCGCGATTATTTAGCAGAAGCACTTTATATTCTTGCGTTAGCAAGCCAGTCAAAATTATTTTCTTGTAGGGAGAACCTTTGATTCACTTTTGTAGCATTTAAAAAACCAGGTTGGGGCACAGGCTGTCATTCCAGTGCTAATAGGCTTTACCACCAGGTGATGGAAAAGGTACAGAATGAAAAACCTGCAGGCTGCATTTTGAGAATAGCCAAGCAAAGATGGGGCAAAGACACGACACCAGCACCGATGTCCGTGCCACTGCTGATGTTGAGGGTTGGCAGAGCTGTAATATTCAGTAAAACTAAAAGAAGTGTTTCACATCTGAGAATTATTTGCTACACCAAATAATTACTAAATATTTATAGAAAAATAGTGAAAATGCCAGTTCCCGATGTTGGGCTTTAGCTATAGAATTTATACATAGGAGCATATATGAGGTTATTTACACATCAGTATTTAATTGATGTGTGAGGTACAAGATGCAGCTTGGTTGTATTCCATTAGCATTGCAAATGGTGAACAACACTGAAACCAAAGATAGTTATGTAAGCCACCAAGCAGTCAAGAGACGAGGTCCTCTGAAGATGCCAAAGTGCATCCCCCCTTTCACCAGCTCAATGGAAGGAGCTTGAACATACACATTTACAGTAGCTGGCTGGTACTGGGTGCAGCAAATGACAACTGCTGTCCACTACCCCTGGGATTACTGCCTCTTCATCCATGGAAAACTGACCGGGCCGATGAGGACATTGTAATGTGATTTTATTACAGTAAACATGGTGATAAAGAGCCAGGATTTCATTATCAAAGCAAAACTTTGTTCTTCCATATGGTAATTATGGTCCTTTACAACTTCCAAAGTGCAGATTCTATTCTTTTATTGTGTCCCCTTTATAACACATACATTATGTTCATGGAACAAAGCATTTTAAAGTGGGACTACAAAAACGAATGGATCATTTTACAAAGTATTTAAAACAGGAATGAACACGGAGTTTACACATGAACAAAGAAAAAAACAAGCAAGGAAATGCTGCCACTAGAATCCTCAGCATCCAGAACTTTGGGGGGCACAGACACCCGACATATCTGGAAGTATCAGATGCTGTAGATTCTAGCAGCAGCTCTACAAAGGTGCCCATTCACCTTACGAATATCGCACGATTGTCTTTTGCGATCGCGTTTTCGTCAGATATTTGTAAGGTTTATGGGCAGGGTACAACCGCAAATACTGTACAATTGTACGACTTGCGTCTTTCCAGCAGGTTAGAAAACCTCTGTCGAATCGTACGAAATTCGATAGCTTAATGGCATTTCCGTACGGAAAATATTTCACAATGGTGTACATTTATATTTTTATTTGACAAGTGTCTCTTTAAAACAGAGAAACAACCAAAGAATTTGTGAAGAGCTGGCTCAATTGGGATGATGTTACA